CATAATGACAAGGTTACCATCCATTGGAATAACAAATATCTCGACAACGGACTACCTTCCATAATGAAAAGGTTACCATCCAATGGAATAAAATATTCTCGAAAACAGACTACCTACCATAATGACAAGGTTACCATCCATTGGAATAACAAAAATCTCGACAACAGACTACATTCCATAATGACAAGGCTATCATCCATTGGAGTAACAAAAACCTGAACAACAGACTACCTTCCATAATGACAAGGCTACCATCCATTGGAGTAACAGAAATCTCAACGACCGACTACCTTCCATAATGACATGGAAACTATCCATTGGAATAACAAAAATCTAGACAATAGACTACCTTCCATAATGACAAGGCTACCATCCATAGGAGTAACAAAAATCTAAACAACAGACTACCTTCCATAACGACAAGGCTACCATCCATTGGAGTAACAGAAATCTCAACGATCGACTATCTTCCATAAAGACAAGGCTACCATCCATTGGAATAACAAAAATCTTGACAATAGAGAACCTTTTATAATGACATGGCTACCTTCCATTGGAGTAACAAAAATATAAATCTTGACAACAAACTACCTTCCATAATGACAAGGCTATTATGCATTGGAATAACAAAAATCTAGATTATAGACTACCTTCCATAATTACAAGGCTACCATCCATTGGAGTAACAAAAATCTGAACAACAGACTACCTTCTACAATGACAAGGATATCATCCATTGGAGTAACAGAAATCTCAATGACAGACTACCTTCCATAATGACAAGGCTACCATCCATTGAAATAACAAAAATCTCAACAACAGACTACCTCCCATAATGACAAGGCTACAATCCATTGGAGTAACAAAAATCTGAACAACAGACTACCTTCCAAAATGACAAGGCTACCATCCATTGGAGTAACAGAAATCTCAACGACCGACTACGTTCCATAATGACAAGGATATTATCAATTGGAATAACAAAAATCTAGACAATAGACTACCTTCTATAATGACAAGGCTACCATCCATTAGAGTAACAAAAATCTGAACAACAGACTGCCTTCCATAAGGACAAGGCTACCATCCATTGGAGTAACAGAAATCTCAACAACCGATTACCTTCCATAATGACAAGGCTACCATCCATTGGAATAACAAAAATCTAGACAATAGACTACCTTCCATAATGACAAGGCTACCATCCATTGGAGTAACAAAAATCTGAACAATAGACTACCTTCCATAATGACAAGGCTACCATCCATTGGAGTAACAGAAATCTCAACGACCGACTACCTTTCATAATGACAAGGCTACCATCCATTGGAATAACAAAAATCTCGATAATAGACAACCTTCTATAATGACATGGCTACCATCCATTGGAGTAACAAAAATATAAATCTCGATAACATACTACCTTCCATAATAACAAGGCTACCATCCATTGGAGTAACAAAAATCTGAACAACAGAATACCTTCCATAATGACAAGGCTACAATCCATTGGAGTAACAAAAATCTCAACAAAAGACTACCTTCCATAATGACAAGGCTACCATCCATTGGAGTAACAAAAATATCGACAACAGACTACCTTCCATAATGACAAGGCTACCATCCATTAGAGTAACAAAAATCTGAGTAACAGTCTACCTTGCATAATGATAAGGTTGTCATCCATTGGAGTAGCAAAGATATCGACAACAGACTACCTTCAATAATGACAAGGCTACCATCCATTGGAGTAACAAAAATATTGACAAAAGACTACCTTCCATAATAACAAGGTTACCATCCAATGGAATAACAAAAATCTCGACAACAGACTACCTTCCATAATGATAAGGCTACAATCCATTGGAGTAACAAAAATCTGAACAAAAAACTACCTTCCATAATGACAAGGCTACAATCCATTGGAGTAACAGAAATCACAATGACAGACTACCTCCCATAATTACAAGGCTACCATGCATTGGAGTAACAAAAATCTCGACAACTGACTACCTTCCATAATTACAAGGCTACCATCCGTTGGGGTAACAAATATCTCGACAACAGACTACCTTCCATAATGACAAGGCTATCATCTCATTGGAGTAACATAAATCTAAACAAAAGACTAACTTCCATAATGACGAGGCTATCATACATTAGAGTAACAAAAATCTCGACAACAGACTACCTTCCATAATGACAAGGCTACCATCCAATAGAGTAACAAAAGTCTGAATAATAGTCTACCTTGCATAATGATAAGGTTATCATCCATTGGAATAACAAAGATATCGACAACATACTACCTTCAATAATGACAAGGCTACCATCCATTGGAGTTACAAAAATCTCGAAAAAAGACTACCTTCCATAATGACAAGGTTACCATCCATTGGAATAACAAATATCTCGATAACAGACTACCTTTCATAATAACAAGGCTACCATCCAATGGAATAACAAAAATCTCGACAACAAACTACCTTCCATAATGACAAGGCTACCATCCATTGGAGTAACAAAAATCTGAACAAAAAACTACCTTCCATAATGACAAGGCTACAATCCATTGGAGTAACAGAATATCCTGACAACAGACTACCTTCCATAATGACAAGGCTATCATCTATTGGCGTAACAAAGATATCGACAACAGACTACCTTCAATAATGACAAGTCTACCATCCATTGGAGTAACAAAAATCTCGACAAAATACTACCTTCCATAATAACAAGTTTACCATCCATTGGAATAACAAATATCTCGACAACAGACTACCTTTCATAAGAACAAGGCTACCATCCAATGGAATAACAAAAATCTCGACAACAAACTACCTTCCATAATGACAAGGCTACCATCCATTGGAGTAACAAAAATCTGAACAAAAAACTACCTTCCATAATGACAAGGCTACAATCCATTGGAGTAACAGAATATCCTGACAACAGACTACCTTCCAAAATGACAAGGCTATCATCTATTGGCGTAACAAAGATATCGACAACAGACTACCTTCAATAATGACAAGTCTACCATCCATTGGAGTAACAAAAATCTCGACAAAATACTACCTTCCATAATAACAAGGTTACCATCCATTGGAATAACAAAAATCTCGACAAAAGACTACGTTCCATAATGACAAGGTTACCATCCATTGGAATAACACTTATCTCGACAACAGACTACCTTCCATAATGACAAGGCTACCATCCAATGGAATAAAAAATTCTCGAAAATAGACTACCTTCCATAATGACAAGGTTACCATCCATTGGAATAACAAAAATCTCGACAACAGACTACATTCCATAATGATAAGGCTATCATCCATTGGAGTAACAAAAGCCTGAACAACAGACTACCTTCCATAATGACAAGGCTAACATCCATTGTAGTAACAGAAATCTCAATGACCGACTACCTTCCATAATGACATGGCTACTATCCATTGGAATAACAAAAATCTAGACAATAGACTAACTTCCATAATGACAAGGCTACCATCCATTGGAGTAACAAAAATCTAAACAACAGACTACCTTCCATAATGACAAGGCTACCATCCATTGGAGTAACAGAAATCTCAACGACCGACTACCAGCTTCCATAATGACAAGGCTACCATCCATTGGAATAATAAAAATCTTGACAATAGACAACCTTTTATAATGACATGGCTACCATCCATTGGAGTAACAAAAATATAAATCTCGACAACAAACTACCTTCCATAATTACAAGGCTACTATGCATTGGAATAACAAAAATCTAGATAATAGACTACCTTCCATAATTACAAGGCTACCATCCATTGGATTAACAAAAATCTGTACAACAGACTACCTTCCATAATGACAAGGCTATCATCCATTGGAGTAACAGAAATTTCAATGACAGACTACCTTCCATAATGACAAGGCTACCATCCATGGGAATAACAAAAATCTCAACAACAGACTAACTTCCATAATGACAAGGCTACAATCCATTGGAGTAACAAAAATCTGAACAATAGACTACCTTCCAAAATGACAAGGCTACCATCTATTGGAGTAACAGAAATCTCAACGACCGACTACGTTCCATAATGACAAGGCTACTATCCATTGGAATAACAAAAATCTAGACAATAGACTACCTTCCATAATGACAAGGCTACCATCCATTGGAGTAACAAAAATCTGAACAACAGACTGCCTTCCATAATGACAAGGCTACCATCCATTGGAGTAACAGAAATCTCAACGACCGATTACCTTCCATAATGACAAGGCTACCATCCATTGGAATAACAAAAATCTAGACAATAGACTACCTTCCATAATGACAAGGCTACCATCCATTGGAGTAAAAAAACCTGAACAATCACTACAAGAAAATTAGTGTTTAACGACACAAAAATTGCGAAAATTATGTGATAACTGTCGTAATTGACATATAGAGACAGTGTTTACGACAGTTGACACCCACCGTCCCTAATATTTATTTTGCGACGGTATATTTAACCATCATAATATTATTATTACGACGGTAAAACAACCGTCGGACCCTATTTAACACTTTTAACATTGATTTTTCACCAACAACTAGTCATGACGGTAAAATTAACCGTCCTAAAAGGCATATCACGACGGTAAAGCACCCGTCGCACCCTAAAACCTTTCACGACAGTAAAATTATCCGTCCTAAAATTCATTTCACGACGGTAAAACAACCGTCGCACCCAAAACCTTTAAAAATTCTCATGGGCACAACGGTAAAACACCCGTCGCCGTAATAAAGTTAAAAACCTCATAAAACATCAATTCACTTTCTACTCCTGCGTTCACTTTTTCTACTCACGGTGCCGTTCATGCCGTTCTTCTTCACACCGAAAGAAACCCCTTGACACCGAAAGGAATCTCTTCAAACCGCTCATCTTCACACCAAAAAACGCACAGCAAGCAGTTTAACATCCTCTGCGTTCATCTCTTCAAACACAGTAAGTTTTATGTATCACTTTTTGTATTGTTCTCATCTCTCTCATTCTCTTCCATTGATTTCAGCATTAGAGATTCACTTGAATCTTATGGTTGAGCTCTTTGTGATGATTGATTTTGAGTTTGAATATATTGAATTGATGTTAGGTTTTCTAATTTGTTGTTTTAGGGTTTTATTTCTTTTTATGATTTTTTAGGTTTTCTAATTTGTTGTTTTAAGGTTTGATTTGATTATTAGATTAAATATGTCACTGGACCGATTAGAATCGATGAAAACTAATATAAATTGGTGAAATCAAAAAAATTGCCTATTTTCTTAAACAATGATTTATCAGTAATGAAGTACTGGAGTACTGAATTAGTAATGAAGTACTGATTCTTAAATGAAATGCATATATCAGTAATGAAGCAGCTGAACGTTTTTCAGTTTCCTGATCTTTTTTTCACCTTCAGTGGCCTTTCCTTCATTCACACCATTGCCGCTTTTCTTATACAACTCTAACAGGCCCTTTTCAGTAAGATGGAAAAGGGAGTTTAATGTCATACGATAAACTTGGCGAGCAGAAGAAAACACAAAAAGCTAGCTCCGATTAATATAGTGTGCCAGTTCCACTGCAAGATGGTAAATATTAGATCATCGATAGTGCATGTTGAGAGAGTGAGTGAGAGAGAGAGAGAGAGATATCATACTCCATGTTTGGCTGATGCAAACACTGAATGCAGCACGGAGACAATATTAGTTTTTGTTGTGAACATTTTGCTTTTAATGCCAAGGAAACCCTGATGACTATGGTATGGTATGTATGGTGACTGGTATAGATCCCTTATGAAGGTGTATGGCTGTTTTTTGTTGGCTGCTAACATTTATTGATCAAGTTAGCTGGTGAGGCTTGATTGATCCATGTAGTAACTTATATGTTTTGAAAGCCCTCGAGGGCATTTTTGTCCTCCCAACTGCTATATAGCTTAAAGCTGTAAATAGGGTAAATAGGGCACTCTGTTAATTTGAGTAAGGTGAATTTCTCGCATGAAGAGCGGGCCTTCTACAAAAAGTTGGAAGCTGATTCACGTTATCAATTTAAAGTTTATTTCTTTTCAAATTTCTTATATTAACTTGGACATATTGTAATGATACTGCTTGTCTTTTCTTTTTTAAATTAGTGTCTAGAAATTTATTTTGACAGTGGGCATGTTAATTACGAATTATATGATTTTGTTCATCTGCTATTTCTACACTGATGGATGTTCTCAGTTTGTAATTTTGAAAAGTAATGCTTGTAATTTGCAGGCATATGCTGCTGCCGTACAGTGAATCAAAACTATGCAAATATTCTTTTGATGCTTTTACGTCTCCGTCAGGCTTGTGATCACCCACTTCTTGTTAAAGAATACAATTCTGATCCTGTTGGAAAAGATTCTGTTGAAATGGCAAAAAGGCTTCCAAAAGAGATGTTGATAAATCTGTTTAATAGTTTGGAAACAACTGCCGCTATATGTTTTGTCTGCAATGTAAGTTAATTCTGATTTGATAATTTCATTATTTGTTTCTTTGTTGCAATTATTCCTTCTAAGAGCGTCATCTGATATAGATCATTTTGATCGTATCTTACCAGTCTTTCTCTTCCTATGGTACATGTTTTGTTTATATGTTTAATAAATAACATTAGTAGGAACAATTCTCTATGGTTTGAAATATGATGAAGTTTGTGAATAAATAACATTAGTAGGAACAGTTAATAATTGGGAATATGGCCTCAATACAAAGAACTAGCTTTCTTGTTATTTTCTTTTCTTCTGATACATGATATAGTAGTACATGATAAGCTTGGTAGACTCTGCTGTTAGTAATTGGTTTAATCTATTTAATGACTCAGTTATTTATTTTGCCTTGCCTGTGTTAAATACTTGAGTAGAGGCCAGAGAATAAGCTTGGAGATGATGAAACGTGGGATAGGGATGAAAGTGCTCTCAAGGAGGCTTTGGATGAGTTTGGCAAGCCATGGCAGGTATATGCTTTTCATGTTTTGAATTCAATTATATGTTTCTTGATACTATTTTTTATATTCTCATACATTCTTTTATTTATTGTATATCTGTTTTATTATTTTCAATGTAATGCATCATTTGTTAACTTCAATTATGTGCTTATAATCCAAATAAAACTCTGCAGTTGAATGAAGGGGATGGTGCATTCTATGGACCACAGATAGATATCAGTGTATCTGATGCATTGAGTAGGAAATTCCAGTGTGCAACTCTATAGGTTTACACTCTTTGGCTTGACTTGCATTCACATGGTTCAGTTGTTAATTATTTTTACTGATAATTGGATAAATTGGCTCTTTGCAGCTTGACTTCCAGCTTCCTGATCGTTTTAAGTTGGAACTCTCAGCTGAGGATGAAGCCAAAATTGAGAGGCCTGTTATGATACACAGAGCCATTCTAGGATCAGTTGAACGCATGTTTGCCATACTTTTAGAGCACTACAAGGGTAAATGGCCCTTCTGGCTCAGTCCTCGTAAAGCAATTTTGTGCCCTGTTTCTGAGAAATCACAAGCTTATGCTCTGAAGGTACACATCTCTGTTTCCTAACTTTAGTCTGTCTATATTTATCGAAGTCATATGATAACAGTTAGGATGGGGTGATGATGTGTACAATTGCATCAAATCCTTGAACCAATTTGTTTATTTTGAGTCGCAACAAGCCTTTTTAGATATACTTTTTATGTGGTAGCTTCTTCATGAAGTTTGAGCAATCTTCCTTGAATAGTTCTATTACCTAACTTTGTTATTGTTCTAATTCTATTTTTGTTGGATACTAATATTTTGACTTGAAAAGCCATGTGCTGATGATTTTATAACATTTTTGTGCTGTAATTTTCTAGGTTCGAGATCAGATTCACCAAGAAGGATATCATGTAGATGCTGATACAACTGATAGGAAGATTCAGAAGAAGGTATCACATATCTTTAGAACCAATAAATTTTTATTTATTGCTTCATGCTATCCATTCACTGGATAATAATGCTATCACCCTGTCATTCATTCACGGGAAAATTTGTCAGTTAATTATGTTCAAATACTGTAAGTGTTGAAACTAGGCTGTTTGCCAGTGAATATGGCCCCAGTTAATAATGAATAACAATCCTTACCATTGCTCAATGTACTGCTTTCTTATTATTCATGGCAAAAATGTCAAAATTATATACCAACAGTATTATTCAAGTCCAATTGCAATAGTTTGTGCCACCTCCTAGTTTGTGCCAACTTCTTTTTACGTATATATGGAAGTCCATGATTTGATCAAGAGGTTCTCCCCCAATATATTATTCTTGTTATATAAACAATAGCTCAATTTTTTCTTTTTCATGTGCAGAAAAAATTACAAGCTGCAATTAAGGATTGTGTCTGAAAATGAGGCATTTCAGAAAGTATTTGGAAAAGAAAAGCATGGATATGTTCGTAGTATGGGACTTGGAGTTACACCATCTCAAATTAATAGATCTACGAGATCGACATCTTCTTCTGCAGAAAGTGAACAAATAAAGGAAATGCAAGAAGAAATTAATGCACTTAAAGAAAAGAATTCAAAAATTGATGAATTAACACAGGCAATCATATTCTTAACGCAAAGGGACAAGGCGAGGACAAAGGAAATTGAACTCTTAATGCAAATGCAGAATTTTAGTGGAAGACAGGTATATTATTTTGACGCATTTAAAGTTAAATTTTATGAGTATTATTTTAAAGATTATTATTTTAATACCTTTTTTTAGGGATTGGAATCACCCGCTGATGGTAGACGTTCATCTGAGTCTAGCTACCGTATTGGAGATAATGGAACTTCAGGGGGGACAAATTAGACTTTGCTATGATCGAGATAATTAGATTTTGAACTTTCTCATGTATTTTTGGCATAATGATACCTATTATTATAAGATTAGGAATTGATATATTTTGGGTTTTTTGTACTACTTGACATGATTATGGAACTCGCATTTTACATGATTATGGAACACACATTTTTTTGGATATTATAATGCTTATTTGATGTTAAATATTTTTTATTGAAATTATTTTTACTATATTACAAAGTGATAGAAAATAAAACAAAAAATAATAATATAAATAAATATATTAAAGAAGAAATAATTTAAAGAAAAAAATAACACAAAAAAAAACTATATTTAAAATTTTTTACATAGATAATAATTTAAATAAAAAATATATATAATAGAAAAATAAAAAAAAATCAAGACATAAACAAAAGTCATGGCGACAGTACCGAACCGTCGTAATCAACAATTAAAAATAATCAACAAAAGTCATGACGGTATCGAACCGTCGCCATAAACAATTTAAACAATTTCAAAAGATATTCACGACAGTATCGAACCGTCGCCATCAATAATTAAAATAAACTCAAAAGATAGTCACGACGGTATCAAACAGTCACCAATACTTGATTATGTCAGCTCCAAACCCGTCGTAAACTTGAACGACAGTTTTTGTAACCGTCGCAAAATAGGTTGGGGACACACACTTCTGCGACGGTAAAGCAACCGTCGTGGAAAGCAAATTGCGACGATTTTAACCGTCGTAATCTACAAAAATACATGTCGCAATCTGCCAATTTTCTTGTAGTGAATAGACTACCTTCCATTATGACAAGGCTACCATCCATTGGAGTAACAGAATTCTCAACGACTGACTACCTTCCATAATGACATGGCTACTATCCATTGGAATAACAAAAATCTAGACAATAAACTACCTTCCATAATGAAAAGGCTACCACCCATTGGAGTAACAAAAATCTGAACAACAGACTACCTTCCATAATGACAAGGCTACAATCCATTGAAGTAACAGAAATCTCAACGACCGATTACCTTCCATAATGACAAGGCTTCCATCCATTGGAATAACAAAAATCTAGACAATAGACTACCTTCCATAATGACAAGGCTACCATCCATTGGAGTAACAAAAATCTGAACAACAGACTACCTTCCATAATAACAAGGCTACCATCCATTGGAGTAACAGAAATCTCAACGACCGACTACCTGCCATAATGACAAGGATACCATCCATTGGAATAACAAAAATCTTGACAATAGACAACCTTTTATAATGACATGGCTACAATCCATTGGAGTAACAAAAATATAAATCTCAACAACAGACAACCTTCCATAATGACAAGGCTACCATCCATTGATGTAACAAAAATCTGAACAACAGACTACCTTCCATAATGACAAGGCTACACTCCATTGGAGTAACAAAAATCTGAACAACAGACAACCTTCCAAAATGACAAGGCTACCATCTATTGGAGTAAAAGAAATCTCAACGATCGACTACGTTCCATAATGACAAGGCTACTATCCATTGGAATAACAAAAATCTAGACAATAGACTACCTTCCATAATGACAAGGCTACCATCCATTGGAGTAACAAAAATCTGAACAACAGACTGCCTTCCATAATGACAAGGCTACCATCCATTGAAGTAACAGAAATCTCAATGACCGATTACCTTCCATAATGACAAGGCTACCATCCATTGGAATAACAAAAATCTAGACAATAGACTACCTTCCATAATGACAAGGCTACCATCCATTGGAGTAAAAAAAACTGAACAATAGACTACCTTCCATAATGACAAGGCTACCATCCATTGAAGTAAGAGATATCTCAACGACCGACTACCTTCCATAATGACATGGCTACTATCCATTGGAATAACAAAAATATAGACAATAGACTACCTTCCATAATGACAAGGCTACCATCCATTGGAGTAACAAAAATCTGAACAAAAAACTACCTTTCATAATGACAAGGCTACAATCCATTGGAGTAACAGAATATCCTGACAACAGACTACCTTCCATAATGACAAGGCTATCATCTATTGGCGTAACAAAGATATCGACAACAGACTACCTTCAATAATGACAAGTCTACCATCCATTGGAGTAACAAAAATCTCGACAAAATACTACATTCCATAATAACAAGGTTACCATCCATTGGAATAACAAAAATCTCGACAAAAGACTACGTTCCATAATGACAAGGTTACCATCCATTGGAATAACACTTATCTCGACAACAGACTACCTTCCATAATGACAAGGCTACCATCCAATGGAATAAAAAATTCTCGAAAATAGACTACCTTCCATAATGACAAGGTTACCATCCATTGGAATAACAAAAATCTCGACAACAGACTACATTCCATTATGACAAGGCTATCATCCATTGGAGTAACAAAAACCTGAACAACAGACTACCTTCCATAATGACAAGGCTACCATCCATTGTAGTAACAGAAATCTCATTGACCGACTACCTTCCATAATGACATGGCTACTATCCATTGGAATAACAAAAATCTAGACAATAGACTAACTTCCATAATGACAAGGCTACCATCCATTGGAGTAACAAAAATCTGAACAACAGACTACCTTCCATAATGACAAGGCTACCATCCATTGGAGTAACAGAAATCTCAACGACCGACTACCTTCCATAATGACAAGGCTACCATCCATTGGAATAATAAAAATCTTGACAATAGACAACCTTTTATAATGACATGGCTACCATCCATTGGAGTAACAAAAATATAAATCTCGACAACAAACTACCTTCCATAATGACAAGGCTACTATGCATTGGAATAACAAAAATCTAGATAATAGACTACCTTCCATAATTACAAGGCTACCATCCATTGGAGTAACAAAAATATGTACAACAGACTACCTTCCATAATGACAAGGCTATCATCCATTGGAGTAACATAAATTTCAACGACAGACTACGTTCCATAATGACAAGGCTACCATCCATGGGAATAACAAAAATCTCAACAACAGACTACCTTCCATAATGACAAAGCTACAATCCATTGGAGTAACAAAAACCTGAACAACTGACTACCTTCCATAATGACAAGGCTACCATCCATTATAGTAACAGAAATCTCAATGACCGACTACCTTCCATAATGACATGGCTACTATCCATTGGAATAACAAAAATCTATACAATAGACTGACTTCCATAATGACAAGGCTACCATCCATTGAAGTAACAAAAATCTGAACAACAGACTACCTTACATAATGACAAGGCTACCATCCATTAGAGTAACAGAAATCTCAATGACAGACTACCTTCCATAATGACAAGGCTACCATCCATTGGAATAATAAAAATCTTGACAATAGACAACCTTTTACAATGGCATGGCTACCATCCATTGGAGTAACAAAAATATAAATCTCGACAACAAACTACCTTCCATAATGACAAGGCTACTATGCATTGGAATAACAAAAATCTAGATAATAGACTACCTTCCATAATTACAAGGCTACCATCCATTGGAGTAACAAAAATCTGTACAACAAACTACCTTCCATAATGACAAGGCTATCATCCATTGGAGTAACAGAAATTTCAACGACAGACTACGTTCCATAATGACAAGGCTACCATCCATGGGAATAACAAAAATCTCAACAACAGACTACCTTCCATAATGACAAGGCTACAATCCATTGGAGTAACAAAAATCTGAACAACAGACTACCTTCCAAAATGACAAGGCTACCATCTATTCGAGTAACAGAAATCTCAACGACCGACTACGTTCCATAATGACCAGGCTACTATCCATTGGAATAACAAAAATCTAGACAATAGACTACCTTCCATAATGACAAGGCTACCATCCATTGGAGTAACAAAAATCTGAACAACAGACTGCCTTCCATAATGACAAGGCTACCATCCATTGGAGTAACAGAAATCTCAACGACCGATTAACTTCCATAATGACAAGGCTACCATCCATTGGAATAACAAAAATCTAGACAATAGACTACCTTCCATAATGACAAGGCTACCATCCATTGGAGTAAAAAAACCTGAACAATAGACTACCTTCCATTATGACAAGGCTACCATCCATTGAAGTAACAGAAATCTCAACGACTGACTACCTTCCATAATGACATGGCTACTATCCATTGGAATAACAAAAATCTAGACAATAGATTACCTTCCATAATGAAAAGGCTACCATCCATTGGAGTAACAAAAATCTTAACAACAGACTACCTTCCATAATGACAAGGCTACAGTCCATTGAAGTATCAGAAATCTCAATGACCGATTACCTTCCATAATGACAAGGCTTCCATCCATTGGAATAACAAAAATCTAGACAATAGACTACCTTCCATAGTGACAAGGCTACCATCCATTGGAGTAACAAAAATCCGAACAACAGACTACCTTCCATAATAACAAGGCTACCATCCATTGGAGTAACAGAAATCTCAACGACCGACTACCTGCCATAATGACAAGGATACCATCCATTGGAATAACAAAAATATTGACAATAGACAACCTTTTATAATGACATGGCTACCATCCTTTGGAGTAACAAAAATATAAATCTCAACAACAGACAACCTTCCATAATGACAAGGCTACCATCCATTGAAGTAACAAAAATCTGAACAACAGACTACCTTCCATAATGACAAGGCTACACTCCATTGGGGTAACAAAAATCTGAACAACAGACAACCTTCCAAAATGACAAGGCTACCATCTATTGGAGTAAAAGAAATCTCAACGATCGACTATGTTCCATAATGACAAGGCTACTATCCATTGGAATAACAAAAATCTAGACAATAGACTACCTTCCTTAATGATAAGGCTACCATCCATTGGAGTAACAAAAATATGAACAACGGACTGCCTTCTATAATGACAAGGCTACCATCCATTGGAATAACACTTATCTCGACAACAGA